GAGGTTACCTGGGACTCTTGTCTATTTCCTACCTCCTGGCGGATAGCTAAATAATCTTCATCAGGTTCATCTTCTTATTTAGCTTCTCTAGGATCACGAATAATAGGCTCAAAGACCTTTAATTATGGTTAGAATCCACTTATGAGTGAATACATACCATGTTCCTCTTTTTGGGTCTGGCTGACCTCACTCAGTAAAGCGTTTTCTATTTCCATCCATTTGCATGCAAAATTCAAGATGTCATTGTTTTTTACCGCTGAGTAAAACTCTAATGTGTATATGTTCCACTTTATTCACATTTTCAGCATATGTTACAGGTTGACTGAGTTCATTAGTTAGATCTTTATTTGTAAGTTTTATGTGGAGAAAAAACTGAAGGGATTGTAGGATAATATGATCCCACTATAATTTAATTCTGTTACTTTAATTCATTTACTTTAATTAAGTAATAATTTACTGTTAATTTAATTCATTTACTTTATACTGAAGTTTCTGATAGAAATTGATGTTTCTGTCTCTTTAGTGACCCATAGGTTTGGGTATGATGTGTCTTTGTTTTCACTGAATTCAAGAAAGACTTTAATTTCTTTCTTTATTTCTTCCTTGACCCAGGGGTGGTTCAGTAGTTGACCATTCAGTTTCCATGAGTTTGTGCTTACAAACTTTCTGGGGTTAGAATTGTTGTTGAATTCTAGCTTTATTCCGTGATGATTGGATAGTACACAGGTGGTTACTACAATTTCTTTGTATCTATGGATGTTTGCTTTGTTACCAATTATGCGATTAATTTTTGAGAAGGTTCCATGCGATGCTGAGAAGAAGGTATATTCTTTTCTGTTTGGGTGGAATATTCTATAAATGTCTGTTAGGCCCATTTGGTTCATAACATCTGATAGTTCTCTTATTTCTCTGTTAAGTTTCTGTCTGGTTGATCTATTCATTGGTGAGAGTGGAGTGTTGAAATATCCTACTATTAGAGTGTATGGTTTGTTGTATGCTTTGAGTTCTAGTAATGTTTCTTTTACATAAGTAGACGCTTTTATATTAGGGGCATAGATATTCAGGATAGAGACTTCCTCTTGATGAATTGTTCCTGTTATGAGTATAAAGTGTCCATCTTCATCTCTTCTGATTGATTTTAGTTTCTTTTCAATTTATTTAATAAAATTTTCCACTTCTTCCCCACCTCCCTTTTCCCTCCCACTCCCCTCCTCCCCCTCCCTCTCCAGTCCTAAGAGCAGTCAGGGTTCCCTGCCCCATGGGAAGTCCAAGGTTCTCCCCGCTCTGTCCAGGTCTATGAAGGTGAGCATCCAAAAAAAAAACAAACAAACAAACAACAACAACAAAAAAAAGGCTCCCACAAAGCCAGTCCAAGCAGTAGAATCAAAAGCCAGTGTCATTGTCCTTGGTTTCTCAGTCAACCTTAATTGACAGCCACATTCAGAGAGTCTGGTGATCACATGCTCCATCAGTCCTAGTCCAGCTGGCCTTGGTGAGCTCCCATTAGATCAGTCCCACTGTCTTAGTGGTTGGTCGCACCCCTCGTAGTCCTGACTTCCTTGCTCATGTTCTCCCTCCTTCTGTTCCTCATCTGGACCTTGGGAGCTCAGTCCAGTGCTTCAATGTGGGTCTCTGTCTCTATCTCGATCCATCGCCAGATGAAGGTTCTATGGTGATATGCAAGATATTCATCAGTGTGGCTATGGGACAAGGCCAGTTCAGCCATCTTCTCCTCTGCTGCCCCAGGGACAAGCTGGGGACCTGTCCTTGGACCTGGGAACCCCTCTAGAGTCAAGTCTCTTGCAAACCATAAAATGGCTCCCTTAATTAAGATATTTACTTCCCTGCTCCCATATCCACCCTTCCTCCATCCCAACCATCTCATTCCCCCAAGCTCTCCCCAATCCTCCCCTTCTCCCTTCTCTCTACTCATCTTCCTTTACACCCACCCCACCCCCCACCCCCGTGCACCCAACTTTTGCCTGGCAATCTTGTCTACTTCCAATATCCAGGAGGATAACTATATGATTTTCTTCAGGTTCACCTTCTTATTAAGCTTCTCTAGGATCATGAATTATAGGCTCAGCGTCCTTTAATTATGACTAGAATCCACTTATGAGTGAGTAAATACCATATTCATCTTTTTGGGTCTGGGTTACCTCACTCAGAAAAGCGTTTTCTATTCCATCCATTTGCATGCAAAATTCAAGATGTCATTGTTTTTTACCGCTGAGTAAAACTCTAAAGTTTATATGTTCTACAGCTTCTTTAACCATTCTTCTATTGAGGGGCACCTAGGTTGTTTCCAGGTTCTGGTTATTACAAATAGTGCTGCTATGAACATAGCTGAACAAATTCTTTTGTAGTATGATTGGGCATCTCTTGGGTAAATATATTCCCAAGAGTGGAATTGCTGGGTCCTGAGATAGTTTTTTTTTAAATGTCAACAGAGAAATTGAAGTAAAGATATGTGTTATCAAAATTAGGCCTTTTCTTATATCTTAAATTTCACTATTTAGTACTTACAAACATTTTGAGTCATATCTTTTTTAATTCTAGTTTTTCAGTGTAGTCAAGAAAAATATGATCAAAGCAACCTCTATCAAACCATTAGACAAAATATCAACTCCTTTAATAAAACATTGACAAATGAGTCCCCAGAGCATGAAGACTGCAAACATGAAAAGGAACAGAACAGATGCTGTGAAAAAACTAAGGCTATTTTAGATTATGGAAAGTACACAGGTGAGTAGAGGATCTTGAATAAGGAATTGCATTTTCTGTATTGATTCTTCTCCAGAAGATTTGAAGTCCAGCGATCAGGTTACAGTCCTGGTCATGTGTGGGTTAATGGTTGGGTTTTCTTATATTATGTAGGGGTCTGGAACCCTAGAAATGCCTATCTAAGTTAGAAGCATCTTACAGTTTCTAGAACTCAGTAACTATTCTGTCTTCTGCTCTCAGGAAAGGAAGCTCAAACAGCAAAGCTGAAAATTCAGGTAGTTTTCATCAATGAAATGGGTCCCCATTTCATTGTTAACAGAATGTTGGAGTTTCCAGTAAGAGAATATTGTCCAAATTCCTAAGCTGAAATGGACGTAAAACATTTATGTGGACACAGTCATAAAAAATAATTGCTTGTATGTTTGTTTTCCTTCTGCTTTGGTATCAGAAAGTTAGCCTCTTTGTAACCAGGGTGTCCTCAGTGCAGTGCACATGAGAGCTTCACCGTGGTGTGCACACTGCTGTCTGTCTATCAGTGACACAAAAATGAAAATATCAATGTTACAAGGAATCTTTCCTTGCATTGTGACTGGTTAATAATACCTGACATAGTTTACCATTAATTATTAAGTATTTGTTCAGAATTTAGAGTTCACAATGAACTCTTGATTGTGATCTCACTTGTTTGATAGCAGGGTTGACAATCTTCACTATTCAAGGACTAATAACATCTTTAAAACTGATAAATTTAAAATATGTCACAGAAAGTAATAAGGCTGCAAAAATTGAGGCATTCCACACTCGACAAAAATGTTTTGTATTATTATATTAGAATAGAATAACTATCTCCTCTACACGGTAGGATGATTCTGCAATGCTTGTGGTTAGAACACAGACAAAGAATGATTGCAAATTTGAGGAGGGTCTTTGTGTCCAGTAAATTCCAAGGTAGCCTGAACTACACAGTGATGTTACCTGTGCACAGAAAAGCAGGGGTTGGACATAAAGGTTTATTAATAGAGAGAGAGTATCCTCATCACCAGAGCAAACAAATAAATGGCATTGAAATGTAGCTATATAAACCACACATATTTTAATGTATTCAAATTTTACACTCTGGGCATGTGAGTGTACCATTGGAGTCAGGAGAACAGAAGATCATCATCAAAAGCTTCCTTATATGTCTCTTATTTCTATTAAGGTAAAGGCATCTAACATACATCACATCAAAGCTGTACATGCACAATAGCAGGTGGGCCACTGTGGGCACAGTGCATTGCTGCAGATCTCCATTGCATTCTACATGTAACTGCCTCAGAGCACCGAGTACTCATTTCCCATCTCTGTGCTCCCTGAGATCTTACAAAACTCTGCTTCTTAGAGTTAAACTGTGTTAGAAACCTCATCTGACTGGAATCAAAAAGCATGGTTATGGCCCCAGTTTGTTTCACTTTGCATCCTATCTTCAAATTCACCCATGCTTCTCTGACAGACTTTCTTGTAGGCTTCTGACAAAGAGAGGATATTACAAAGATTCTGCTGTTTCATTCATAATGAATCTTCTCACAGCAGATGCTGTGACTTAACACTAAGTGAGAAGCAGTCAGAGGTTACCTGGGAGAGTCCTAGGTGTTGTGAGGTGCTAGGTGTTAGAAATGGTTACATTGTATAACCAAAGCTGACTTCGAATATACTGTATAGCCAAGACTGGCCTGGAAATCACTGTTCAACCAAGGCTGACCTCAAACTGGAGGTGAATTTATGTAAGCCTATGTAGATATGGGCTTGTGGGCATAAGCCATGTCCAGCTGTATTTATTTCCCTTTCAAGGATAGATAGTATTCCTTTGTGTGTACATGATAAATTGTTTTCTATTGATTCATCCATAATGAACACTTAAATTATATTCACATTTCTATTATAAACATTGCTGCATAGACCATGGGTGTAGAGGGGTCACTCAGCATTCTAGAATCTCAATTTCACAGAGCTGTAAGATTTTACTCAGTTATAGATGTGTGATAAAGATATTGTTCTAATAATAGAATACCTGAAATTAAGAATTTTCACAATTCTTTCTCTGTTGTAGGCAAATGTGCTGAAGCACACGTGTTGTGCTGTGGTATAAAATGTTATTATTTCATCATGGACAATAAACATTGGAATGACTGTAAGCTGACATGCCAGGACTGCAGCTTATCCCTTTTGAAGATAGAAGATGGTGATGAACTGGTACTGTAGACTCTTAACATGCACATTTATTCTCTTAGACTCTGTCTCTAAATCTTAGATAGTGAGATATTGACCCCAGGCAAGTTTATTGAAAGAGAGACCTTCAAAGATTAAGTATAGTTGCCTATAATAAGAGCAAACACTGCAGTAAGAGTCTCTCAGGATACTCCTCCTGATTCTGGGCTAGTTGTCAGGACACAGGGTCTGTTATGAGGAGGCTTTACTAAAGAGACAGTTGTCTTTGCAAACTCCCCTGTTTCTCATGAGTCTGCAAGAGAGTCACTCTGAGAAGCACGTTTTCTCTGATGAAGTTATTATTTTACTACAGCATGTTCTATGACTGACAGTTATGTGTCTCCATAAAGTGCCAGATACACCTGGAAAGGCAACTGTCTTGGGTTTGCTCTTTGGAACCCAGGAGTGATACTGCCTGGGATGAGTAATTGAATTGCAGTGGAGAATATAACTGACCTCTGAGCCAACTTGCAAAATGCAGATTATATAAAAACCATGGAATTAAATATTTTTAGTTAGAATCATGCTTATTTTTACTGAATCTACGCATAGTATTTACATCATGATATTCTAATATTTCACAAAATGTTATCTATCATTAGAAATGAGTATAAAAGAAAAACAAATGGCCAAGATACTGACATTAGATATATACATTTTCACTAAAGAAATCTTTTCAAAGTCGTGTGGTGGTGGCTCATGCCTTTGATCTCAGTACTCAGTAGGGAGAGGCAGAATCCAAAGCTATAGTGAAAACCTGTCTAGAAAAACCAAAACACAAAATCAAAAATGAAAAAAGAAAGAAATATTCTCAATCACATAGAGGATCTTTTTCTAGGGAAATGATTGAATGGTCAGCTTGAAATCTTTTTCATTAAGAACTTGATGAATAATACTCCACCAATTTAAAACATGCTGTAAATGCAGCATAAAATAAATTTTATGTGAATTAATGATATAATTTCCATTGATATAGTAAATATAGATAAATTTAAAATCATATTCTAAAATATATTCAGTAGTTTTATTAGCCATCATGTCCTCATATGTCACATGTAAGACACACTAATTTTTTAAACAACATTCCACTTCCTCAAATTCTGTCACCTTCAGATATGAATAATAGCATGGATTCCTCACAAGAACATGGAGAATAATGCACAGCTTTTCACAGCATTTTTCTTCTTAACAAATTTGGTTTGAAGACAGAGGTCACAAGATAAACGCTTCTCATACACCTCCATAGTGTTCTGAAATATGAATAATAATAACTTAATAACAAGTTAGACTTACTTAAGGAGCTGGATATGCAATGTATATTTAGGGGTCTGAAGCAGGGAGGTTTAAGGCCAGTCTTGGCTATACACTGAGCCTTTTTCTGAGAATCACAGAGGTAAATCTTTTCATAAAAGTAATATCTCTAGACACTTGAAGCTTCGTTTTAAATAACTTATGTAACTAACTGGTTCTGACATAAATGAGTTACTCATGAGAAATCACTTTAACAATGAACTTGGAGGAACTGAAGGGCTGGAGGACAGGATAGAAGAGAAGTGATAAAAAGAATAGCTGGAAGCTGTCATGGCTGTTCTTTTCTCATCTAACAGAAAACAGTTATCTTAAGATAAATTTATTTTCCTTACAGAAGTTTCTAAAGTACCAGATTACTGCAGACACTTTCTGGATTGGATTATCTTATGAGATAAGCAAAAGCAAATGGCAGTGGATTGACAATGGCCCATCTAATCTGTGAGTTTCCTGAATCCTTAAATTCTAAAACTAATGCCAAAGTTGAGAGGATTGTGTGCAAAGGCTTTTCTCTCATTTCACATGGATTTTCTCATTTTCTATGAAGCTCAAAGGTAAGGAAAAGAAGCAGAAGAGAGTACCTGAGCAAGTATTAGACAGGGAATAGAAATGTGTAGGAATTGATGGCCAGTGATGTAATACTGAACACATCAGGATTGTGTGTTGTAAGATCCACAGGGCACAAAAAATAACCCAAAGCTTAAGATAATTTGAAGTGGTTTGATCTTCATGGAAGATACAATGAGTGTGAGTATCTTAAACATTCATGACTTGTTTCTGTAGTTAGCTTTTAATTGTTAATTTATAAGTATAAAAATCCATATATACACATACATATCTACTTTAAATTTCAAGATTCTATAAGCTCTGAGCTTGTTCATGTTTGATCTGGTAGAAAACTGTTTATTGATTTTCTTTATAAATAATATTTCTTATTGAATATTAAAATCTCATACATACACAGAATGAAATATTATATCTATTGCCTACTTGCCCTCTCAAGCTTCATCTTACTGTACCCAAAGTTTTCCCCTGGTACATGTTTAATGGCCACCCACTGGAGCAAGGATACCTGGAAAAACCTTAATAAGAAATGTTTCTACCACTTCCAGCAGCTGTCACCTAACAATAGTGACTCTTTAAAAGATAGAGGATCCCTCCCCATCTATGCTGGAATTTTGCCCAGTTTGATCTTGTTCAAGTCTCACATAGGTAATCACAGCTGCTGTGAGTTTGTGAGTGAGAAAGCCTGTAACATGAAGGGGCCTGAGTGTTGGGTTTTCTGTCCTGCCTGGTACCCCACAGCTGGCAACCCCCAAAGAAAATCACACAGAGATCTCCAAACACTATAAAACTGATTGGCCCATTAGCTCAGTCTTCTTATTAGCTCTTGTAGCTTGTATTAACCCATTGTTCTTATCTATGCTAGCCACATGGCTCAGTATCATTCACAGCAGGACAGGTCACATGTTGCTGCTTAGGTGGTCTGGACTGGAGTATTCTGGGAAGCAGGAAGCCCCAGCGAGCCATGTGGCTAGCATAGATAAGAACAATGGATTAATAAAAGCTACAAGAGCTAATAAGAAGACTAAACTAATGGGCCAATCAGTGTTATAACTTAAAAAAAAGTGACAGGTTGCAGACCATTGACTGATAGCAGTTCTACCCCCATTAAAAAAAAGAACTCAAAATCAAATCCTCTTTATTTAGCTTTTCTACTTACCATTATACATAATAAATTGTAGCCAACATTCTAAATAAAGGCAAACATTCATAATCCATTTTTGGAGAATATGAGTATAGTTTTCCAGGCTACTTCAAGCTGATTAGAGGCATTGATAATCTTATGGGGACCTAAAGAAAATTTTGAATTATGTTCAAGTCCTGGATGGAATATTCTGTGAGGCTTGATCATCTCAGCCAGCAGTCTTAAAATGGTTCTGTATGCAAATACAGTAGCTTGGTGCTGCCAGAAGCAGACGTGTCTCATTGTCATGAAAAGTCTTAAGTTTCTAAATATTTTAAATGCCATATTCTGAAGGTATCTGAAAGATTTGAAGAATATCTAAATAACTGATATATATCTTTATATATTTAGAAAACCTAACTAACATGACTACTAACATCTATTATAGATGACTATCTATTAATCTATATTTTTATCATACATTACATTTTTTAAATGAGCTACACAATCTCAATACCCAAATCAAGATCAGAAATGCATATACAAATAATAAAATAGACCTTAAATTTGCATCCATGAACCAATATGCATACCAATGCAAATTATTCATATCTATCTCATATCATCCTTTAAATGTAAAAGAACATTTATAAACAATATTTGGGAATATGCAAGTGGTTCTGTTCATACTGCTTCCAGCTGTTTGGGTGTACTGTTAATCACGTCTTTCATGGTATATTCTGCGTGTTACGTTTATCTCAGTCATTAGTTGGGCTAAGTGGGGTTTTTTTTTTTTTGAGAATGTTTATGGCAACCTTACAGGAGGCCTTGGTCCATGAAACCATATTCGCCTGGACGCAATCCACAGGTTCTCATCTTCTTTGAAAACAAACAAAAACCTCTTTTCCCAAGCAACACATTCTTAGACTCAAATTTGGAAATCATGATACCTTTAGAACATATATGTTGGTTTAGCTTAGCAGCCCATACAACACAATTTCTTTATGTGCTTAGCTCCTTTGAAATCAAAAGATTTAAAAATAACACAATATTACATAATCCAGACACTCTTTGAATTTACCATTTTTATATGGCTTATTTTTCTTTCCTCCTTTTAATCTGCGACTATCTGTACTCTGTCTTTTTAAGGACTTTACTGTTTTTTTCAAACCATTAGCTTTATTTTATAACTCTCTATACTCTTTTTCTTCTGTCTCCCAAGACTATGTACATTTATCCAATACTGTGTCACATTTATAGATAATTTATGTCTCAATCTGTCCTGTGTATCTGTAATTCTTTACTGTCCAGGAGCACTTCTTAAAATGTTAAACACTTCTTATGAACTTAAGTTGTGCCATTAATAGGTGTAATACTGTACCCCTGTTTAGTCTGTTTGCCTGCCCAGTTTAAAACTTAAGCTATGTTATTACTATGATAAATATGGTAGTTCCTACTGGCTCTGCACAGTCCAGCATGGGGAAGACCTTTGTGCCTCTGAGTCTCTTGTGCTTCTGAGCCAAGCGCACTGCCCCACTTCCAGGCACACAGCGTGTCCACATAGCCATCAAGCAAACTGCATGCAGCATGCTGCTCACAAACCCAACTCAAATGTTCTGTAGCCAGACCTCCTGCCCTTAAAGAGTCAGAACCCATGGCAGCAGCAGCCTAGAAAGCCAGCATTTTAAAACCACCGCTTTTATTCTGCTGTGACTGAGCCAGGAAAATCTCTCTCAAAGGAGTTGTGGCAATCAAGGAGCAAATAGCCAAAAGCTGTGTTAAACTCTTTCTTTTGTGTGTGTGTGTGTGTGTGTGTGTGTGTGTGTGTGTGTGTGTGTTTAAAATTAAGCTTTCTCAGGTCTTTAAGGAGATTTAGTCCATCACGTTTGTGCAAATTATTGTAAGGAGAGGGATGCTTGTTAACCTTGGCTCCCTGGCTAGCTTACACCTGAAATAACCACACAGAAACTAATTAATTAAAACACTGTTTGGACCATTAGCTCTAACTTCTTATTGGCTAACTCTTACATCTCCAATTTAACCATTTCTATTAATCTGTGTATCTTCACGTGGCAATTGCTAACCTGGAAAATTTCTAACTGGCATCTGTCTCAGGCAGACAATCCATGGCATCTCACTGACTTTGTTTTCTTCCTCCCAGAATTCAGTTCCATCTTCACTGCCTACCTAAATTCTGCACTATTAACTATACCAAGTTTGTTTCTTTATTCATTAATCAGTGAAAGCAACACACAAACAGAAGGAAATCCCACACAAACTCTCTGTGTATTTTTCATCTTTATGTGACTTTAGTTCGAATTCTTTTATTTGTAGTTTAATTTTTGACTTTGTGAGACAGAGTGTCTTTTCTATACCTTTGGCTGTCTTGCAACTCAATATATAGACTAGCCTGTCCTTGAACTCACAGCGATTTGCCTACTTCTGCATCCTATGTACTGGGATTAAGTGTGTGCCACTACACCTTGAACTCACAGAGATCTGTCTACCTCTGCCTCCCAAGTGTTGGGAATAAAGGTGTGTGCAACCACATCCAACTACTCTCTTTCCTTTTTTTATTTTAAGGATTCTATCCTTTTTCTTTCTCTACTTAACCTACATATATTTTTAAACCCACTGGAAAACATTTAGAGGTTTTCTTCATCTAAACCTTTCTCTACTGTATATTTCTTTGTATTCTGACCACATGACTCTTTAATTTGTTAATCAATAAAGTTAGCATTAAGGATGTGGATTTGATGGTTCTACCCCATTCCTTAGCTTTCTGAGAGTCTAGCCTCATGGAAAAGGTACTGACCAGAGTCATGTTTATTCCAATCTATGCAGTTTCAAGGTCTCAACCACCACCAAAACGCATATGTTTGACTATTCGTCAACACCATTTAAGTGTTTCATGGTGGGACCTCTTAAAAGGGCTGCAAGTTTGCAGCTAAAGCTGAGTCAAGAAGACTTTCTTAATTGAGATGCACATAACTCCTGCAAACAGAACCCACCTGAGAAAAAGGTACTACCAAGAATCCATGCACAACTATGTTCTTTTGTTTCTGTGATTACTTCCCAAATTCTCTCAGGGTTTAAATGAATTTAGCTGCACACACTGATGCCATTTGTTGACAGAGGTTTCTGTGCCACTTGGTCCTACCGTTGAGCAGCACCAAAGAAATACACAGATCTCTACTAAATAAATTAGAAACTAGCTGGCCTATTAGCTCAGGATACATATTAACTTATTCTTACATCTTAATTTGACCCATTATTCTTGTCTATGTTAGCCACATGACTTGCTTCATGTACCAGTGAATCCTTCTCATTCTGCTTCCCCTACATCTGGAAAAAGACAGCAGACTGCCTCTTTTCCTCTTCTCAGAATTCTCCTGTTCTCATTGCACCACCTCTACTTTCTGCCTGGCCACTCCACCTATACGTCCTTCGTTGCTACTGGCCAATCACTGTTTTATTAAAATACAAGTGACAGGATGCAGACCATTGTCCCACAGCAGTCAGGTCCTGAAAGCAGGTAACAGAGTCAGAGAAAACACATGCTTTTTCTGTTAGAACACAGACAAGAAGTCCAAGTCACATAACTGTTACACATATGCAAAGAACCTAGGTCACTCCCATGCAGGTTCTCTGCTTTTTGTTTCAGTCTCTGTGAGTTCCTATGAGCACATTTTGTTGATTTTGTGTGGTTTTCTTATGGTATCCTTGGTGCCTCTGATGCTCGCAATCATTCCTCTCTTCTGCCTGAGGTTTACCTAAGGTTTGACTCTGTGTCTCTTCACATTTACATCTACTGCTGCACCCAGTGACAATTGAACTAGGCAACATTCTATGAGTAAAGCAGTATATCAATAGGACTCATTTTATTGACATTTCTTGCCGCTCATATTTGGGTCTAACCTAGGTCTCTGTACTGTCCAGACTCAGGCAGTTTTAGGGGTGGGATCCCCCTCATGGCATGAGTCTCAAACTCAATCAGTCATTGATTGTCCATTCCCATTTCCTCTGCTACACCTTTACCCCACTATCTCCTATAGACAAGGCAATTTGTAGATCAAATGTTACATGATTGGGATGGGATCTCAATCCCTCCACTAAATGTTTTGCCTAGTTAAGAAAATAGCCTGTTCAGACTCTATATCCCCCATTGCTAGGAATTCTGGATAAAGTCACCCTCAATGATTCCTGGAAATTTCCATTGCACTAGGTTTCTAACTCAGACCACAAATGATCCTCATTCCAATTATCTTTCCAAGTATTCTCTTCTGCCCTTTCCCCAAACCAGATTACTCCTGTTCCCATGCCCACCTACCCAAATCCACCCATTATAACTATTCTACCTCTTGTTCACAGAGCAATTTGTTGTGCAATCCCCCTGAATCTGAGCCCTCCTTGTTACCTAGTTTCATGGGTCTGTGCATTGAAGCATAATTATTTTTTCATTTATGGTTAAACTCCACCTATAAGTCAGTACATATTATGTTTCTTTCTGAATCTTGGTTATCTCTCTCTGAATGAAGTTTTCAAGTTCTATCCACTTTGTGGAAAGTTCACTAATGTTCTTGTTTTAAACAGTTTCACACTACTCCATTGTGTGAATTTACCACATTACTTTTCTCCATTATTCTTGTGATCAATGTCTACGTTGGCTCCAGTTTCCAGCTGTTATAAAAAAAAAGCCACTATGAATGCATTTGAAAATGCCCTTTGTGGTAAGAGGCATCACTTGGGTATAAGCCCAAGAGTATCATAACTGGCTCTTGACATAAGTCAATTATCCATTTTCTGAGAAATAACCAGGTTGACTTCCAAAGTGACTGTATAAATTTGCACTCCCACCAGCAAAAGAGGAGCTAATTATGTTTTAATTGCCTTTGATACTTTGATATCACATATATACTTGTTTTTAGACAGAGATTCAATTGTCCCATACTGGTCTTGGAATCCTGATATTTTGGGACTATGGGGAGCTGTGACTCACCCTACAGTGTCCTTTTTCTCTGGAGAGATAGCAACCATTCTTATTTCGCGTATGTTAGTTGTTAATCCTACTGTCTGAAGTTCTATGGATTTAATGTACTGTTTCTGCAGGCTTGTGCTCATAATGCCATTTTCTTTCCTGTATTTACTGAGTTTCTTCTTCCACAGCCATAGAAACTGTCTGAAGCATAATATCCACATTGATAACTATCTCAGGGATATTTCATTCAGTGTCTGGGAACATTGCAGGTCTGGCTCAGTTTTATTTAAATATGATAATGCCAAAATGGACAGTTAATTTACAAATAAACAGGAAATTAAGTTCCTCTCTCCTCCAAAGACACTCTTAAGCTGGCTGTCACCAAGGGGTGCAGGAGACAGACACTCTTACAAAATGTTATAATATATTCAAAGAACACAGATTATTATTGCTTTTATTATTAGTTTTTGTTCTTATAATTTAGGTATCATTTTATACAGGCTAGCCCCACTCCTCCTACATCTATCTCCCAAGCATTTGGATCGATGCTGTTTATCACCATGATTGGCCACAGAGTTAATTAATTTATTTATACTCTACATGACCACACAGAGTCAGAGATGAAAGGTGGAAACATGTGGAGTGAGGTATCAGTGGCTGGGAGGATACCTACATTCAGGTTAAAACATCTTTGTAGACCTTGACTATGCTACAGAACTCTCTGCTGAAGGTGGTATGAGCACTAGGGCCACTCTTGAGGATTCAGTTTAAAAGCCTGGTGGTGAAAAGACTTCTTTCACCAACACAGGCATTTTCTCCAGTGTAAAAATGCAGTAGTTTAGACACCTGATACACTGTCAGCTTCTTATGGACCTTGTAAGCAGCTGTGAACTTAACTTGTGTTTCTTGTATAGAGGTTGAGGTGGGAATCACCTTGGACGTAAATTTAGACCTCATGGTGATTCATATGTATTTTGAGTAATTACTGTCTTCTGGGTGTTTTCCTCTTTGCCAACATTCAATACACGTGCTTAATTGATTGTACCCATAATCACACCTTATGATTGACTAATGTGTGTACTCATTTGTATTTTATCTTACCTGTTCAGTCTATGCCCAAATACCAATTAGCATAATTTATGTCTTTTGCTGTTACTGTGGTAAATCTAAATACTTTATTTTTACCTAATTTGAATCCAGGGCTCCAAAAATGAACTTTTTTGGAAGTTTTATCCTTAAAACTCAAGTTTTATCTCATCCTATACAGTATGGATTTCATTCACTGATTTACCTTCTTTCACACAGATTCTCATCAGCCTGGTCTTGTTAAATCTCACAGTGTTGCCAAAACCATGGGACCTTCTCCTGTGCTGCACATTTATTCATTTTTATTTTTAAAATGTCTTTATTGCAAAAAGCATCATAGGAAATCTTTTATGAATGAAATGGGCACAAGTGTGCATCCATTTCACAACACATTAGTAGTTAGAAGGCAGTTGAAGGAGTCACTTTTCTCTTTCTACTATGTTGTATCTGAGGCCTAAACTCAAGTTATCAGGTTTGGTAGCAATGGTTTCCATGCAGTGAGCAATGTCACTGGTCTAATAATACATTTCTTAAATGAGTTTAGAGAAAACTAAAATAACCTTTAGTAAAATATTTACAATTAACCTCATATTCGGTACATTTTGCTCAATAAACATTGATTTTAAAATTGTTAAATACACCAATATAAGATTCATATTTTAATAACAGCCTGTTATATGTTTTGTTTTATAGAGATTTGATGAAATTAAAATTATTAAAGGAAAATGGATACTGTGCATGGCTCAGTTTTCGAGGAATACATGAAGGAGACTGTGGTACAAAACACCCCTGCATCTGTGAAAAGAGAATGAATAGATTTCCTGATTCAGTGTGCAGTATGAAGGGAAAGTAAAAAGTGAAACATTTTATCATCTTTGCTGGTATCCTGTGATGATTTGTGACTGCTTAATGACTAAATGTTTTAACCACAGCACTCAGCTAGCCAAGCAAATATGGCAATGAGGCAATGATCTGGAAAAGAAAGGAATGTTCTGCTTAAATATAACAACACACCACAAGTCATCCTCCTTCCTACTAAATACATTACTTATGTCTGGAGAATGGATGCCCTATGCCCCAAGCCTTAAGGAATCACACCTTTGTTTCCTGAATGTCACACAGAAACAAATGCAGAACCCTGATAAATATCACAAGTAACTCACCATCACTATGATAAACCTTTTCAATATTCCACTGCTTTGACATCACAATTAAGAACTAGAATGCAGTTTCGGGATTCTATTTGTAGTTGGTTGCTTAAAGTTTGTAATTCTGCTCGCTCTCTCTCTCTCTCTCTCTCTCTCTCTCTCTCTCACCTCTTTCTTCTTCCTTCTCTTCTCTCTTTCCTCTTTCTCTTTCTCTTTTTCTTTCTCTTTCGCTTTCTGTCTGACCATTTGTTGATAAGTTGAAATTCGCTAGATACAAGAATATTCTTTGAGGCCATCTGGATGTCATGGCTCAGGCTTATAAGTAATTGAGTTTGAATGCAGTCTGGGCTACATAGTATGCTTCAGGCCATCATGGGCTACAGAAAAAGACTGTCTCATGAAGCATAATAATAATAATAATAATAATAATAATAATAATAATAATAATAATGGCGGTAATAATAATACTAAACTGTCCATAAATATTTTCTAAGATGTTTCTGTTATAACATCATATTAAAATGAAAAACTTCAAGAAATTCAGTATTGACCTAGTCATATGATCTATTCCATACTTCATATTAATAATTGTCAGTTTTCTGGTTTATGTCACTATTGATATTTCCTCATATTCACTATCATCCATGCTTTCACTTGTAAGGTCCTTTAGCTCTAAAATGGTTATAGACTTATGATGCCTTTATTTTTTGACCCTGACATTAAAATATCAAATTTGACATTGGAGTGTATATGTAATTAAATGCCACCAGTGTAAGTCATTAGACATGAGTTTAAAAACATGTCCATATCTTCATGAACCATTTTGCAGGTTAGTTTTTTGTCATTTTGACACAAGCTAGATTCAATCTGAAAGAAGAGAACCTCAATTAAGAGTGAGCCTCAAAAAGATCTGGCTGTAGGGAAGCCTATAGAGCTTTTTCTTAATTAGTGACAGATTGAGAGGCTCAGTCCTTTAGAGGACGTATGACCCATGGACTGACGGTCCTGTGTTCTATTAAGAAAGCACGCTGAACAAGTCATGGGAAACTTCAAGCAAGCAGCACCTCTCCATGGCCTGCACATCAGCTTCTGACTCCTGGGTCCTACCAGGTTTGAGTTTTTGTCCTGACTTCCTTCGATGATGAACAGCAGACCTGAAGTGTAAGTCATATAAACCTTGTCCTTTCAACTTTCTTTTTGGTCATCGTGTTTCATTACAACAATAGAAACCACATTCTCTTGGAAACCCTTAATCCAGCAGAGCCAATACACGGGACAGGATATAGGCCAAAGGTAATGTGGCTGGGTTGGTTTCCCACTCCATCCCCTTGAAGCCTGGTCTGATCACAGGAGATGGCCAGTGCAGGCTACATATCCCTTATTACTAAGAATCTTAGCTGATGTCACCCTTGTAAATTCCAGGGAGTTTCTGTTGCATCAGGTTTTTACCTGACTGTGAAATAGCCCCTCTTTCCAGTAGTCTTTTTCAGTGCATGAATTTTTGATACCTCTGAACCTGAATTTTCACATTCACATCCTAACCTATCTGCATTTGATTCATGGTATCTTTTCTATTTCCCCTTCTCAGGGAGATCTGGGTGTTCCCTTTTCAAGACTCTTTGTTATCTGGTTTCTCAGGGTCAGTTTTCCTTGATTTTACAATTAATCTCTTCTCTTTAGTGGAAATATACCATATTTTTTTTTCCTCAGTCTGGGTCACCTCACTCAGGAAGACTTTTTCTAATTTCACCCATTTGCCTTCAGATTTTCTGTTGTCATTGCTTTAACAGTTGAGTAATGCTTCATTGTATAAATGTACTACATTTTTTTATCCATTCCTCAGTTAAGGGCCATCTAGATGGTTTCAGCATCCTTGCTATTATAAACAAAGCTGCTATGAACATAGTTGAGTAAGTCTTCTTCTGTTATGATTGGACATCCTTTTAATAAATGCTCGAGAGTTGTATGGTCTGATCTTATGGTAACTTGATTACAGGTTTTCTGAGTAACTGCCCTACTGATTTCCAAAGTGGTTCCTTGTAGCTGTGAAATAGTCTCTACTTTTGGCCTCTTAGAAGGCCAATGGCTGGTGATTATAACTGAAATATCTGCGCCAGTATCTAGAAGGCCAGAAAAATCTTTTTTCCTTTATAAACAGAGTGAGTTCTGGTCTCTGAAGACCTATGGCTTGTACCAAATATGCATCAGATGACCCAAATCTGTTCTTTCATCTTTTCTTTCTTACTCTGATTATTGGTTTGCACAGCTGGAAGTAAAATTAATTGTGCAAGCCTCTGACCTGTTTTTAGGACAGAAACTCCACTTGGTAAGTGAGTCATCACCTTGATCTCTCCCTCATAAACAGCATCAAATACTCCAGGAGCCACAAAGATCCCTTGCATAGCTTAGCTACTTCTCCCTAACAGTAACCCTGCAGTGCCTTCAGGTAAAGGTACATAGATCCCTGTGGGGAGAGCTTGCACCCACATTTCAGGTATTAGAACCATGTATACGGAAGAACTGAGGTTGAGCCCTGTGCTTCCTGGGGTTGCCCTGAAAGGGTCCTGTATAGATTTCATTGTGGGGTACAGATTGCTGGATTGCCCCCTGAGTCCATTTCCAGAACGGGAATTTCCTAGTTCATTTGTTTTTGATCTGCACTCACAAGCCCAATGCTTTCCTCTCCTGCATCTTCTACACAATCCTGCTTCTCTTCTAGTCCTCAGGCTTATTCTTCTATCAGGACATCATCTAACATGATGTCCAATAAGACTACATCCAAATCAGCCTCCAGGTATTCCTGTAGCTTGCATTCTCCCTGGAGCTAGGGCTCTCTGCTGGGATAAGACATCATTAATTGTCTTTCCCTGTAAGGCAGGAGCTAAGGTGATTCCTTGTGTATATGATTGGCCAAAATTTCGAGCAAATTCAGATAAAATCTGCAACATTACTCTGTTTCTTAAAAGGCCTTATAGCCACTTTGCATGTAGCATTGGCGTTCTCAAATGCTAACTGTTTAATTAATTAATATCTGTCCTGGTTCTGAGTCTCTGGTGCGGGAGAATTGTCTGTATTCTGTCAATCGTGTTTTAAATAAAACGTTAATTGGCCAGGCAGGAGGTGTAGGCAGGAAAACCAGACAGGAAGTGGAAATGATGCAAGGAGAGCAGGAGAATTCTGGGGAGGAGGAAGTTGATTCCTCCTACTCCTGCCCAGATCACCGAAGCACCAGGATGTGAGCTGCCCCACTGAAAAAGGTACTGAGCCACATGGCTAAAATACATAAGAATAATGGGTTAAAATAAGTCATAAAAACTACTAAGTAGCCTGACCTAATGGGACAATCAGCATTATAACTTACTGAGTCCTCTGTGGTTGATTTTCTCTGGGATTAAACAGCTGTGGGGTACCAGGCAGGACAGAAAAACACAAACAAACAGGCCCCACTCATGATACAAGTCTCCAATTAACCTAGTAGATGCCTGTGTTAGTCTGGAAACAAAGTCCTGAGATAACTCATCTGGTCCCTGTCTTATACTAGATAACTCTTCAGTCTGTTCTTTTGATGGTAGAAGCTTACTCCAGGCCTTCTTGGCCGCTGCACTAATTTGGACATATGCTGCTATATCATAATCTAACTGTTGATTTGTTCCCGTATATGGTCCCTCACCTGCAAGCATCTCATATGGAAACAGATATCTGCTGGGCTCTGTTTCTCTCAGCTGTGGCCTGACTTTGTTCTGTAAATTTGGTTTTCTACAATAGATAATCTCCTCCTGACAGGCAAGCCTTGGCTATGTGCTTCTAATCCACTGGTAGCAGATCTTCTACAGCTATATTTTCCACCAGTGTCTGGGTAAAGGATGCCATGGCACCATATTGAGCACAAGCAGTTTTTAATTCTTTGAGTAATTTAAATGATATAGGAGTATGTATTCTAAGCACATTTCCTTGCGCATCTCTCTGCTCCATTACTGGGAACAATTGAAATCCTTGCATCTCTTCTCCTCTGCTAGCAGCTTCACTGATACAAGCCTGTAGAAGAGATTCATTGCTATTGTTATGCCTCTGTTTCATTTTCAGTGTAGTCTGAAGTGTGGGTGTATCTAAGCCTGCTATTACTGTAGGAAGAGTATTGCTCTTCTGACAAGGGTCCTGTAACTGCATAGTTCCTAATCTGCACAATAGCGAGGTTACCATCCTTCTCAAGCCTTTTATTTCTTTCTGAACCTTGTCATCATGTAATTTGTAATAGCCAGAACCTGGAAAGAACCTAGATGCCCCTCAATGGAAGAATGGATAAAGAAAGTGTGGCAATCTACAAATTAGAGTACTACTTAGTGGTAAAAAAAAAAATGGCATCTTGAATTTTGCATGCAAATGGATGGATTTAGAAAACACTATCCTGAGTGAGATACCTCAGACCAAAAATATGTATATGGTACATACTCACACATTCTAGCCATATGAATTCTAGCCATAAACAAAGGACATTGAGCCTATAGTTCACGATTCTAGAGAACCTAAGTAATAAGGTGAACTGAAAGAAAAACGTATATATAGATCCTCCTAGAGACTGGAAGCGGACAAGATCACCAGGCAAAAGTTAGGAGCATTGGGGTGGAGTGGGGGAGGGGGGGAGAGAAGGGAGAACGGGAGGGTTTGGAAGAGATTGGGTGAGCAGGATGGTTGAAATGGAGGAAGGGCAGATATGGGAGCAAGGAAGAAGATATCTTAATTATGGGAGGCATTGTGGGGTTGACAAGAGTATTGACTCTAGTATTGACCCAGATGTACACAGGGATGTCCCCAGCTAGGACCCTGAGCAGTGGAGAAGAGTGCCTGAACTGGCCTTGTCCTGTAGTCAGACTGATGACTTTCTTGAATATCACCATAGAACCTTCCGCCAACAACAGATGGAGATGGAGACTGAGACCCCCATCGGAGCACAGAACTGAGCTCCCAAGGTCCAGTTGAAGAGCAGAAGGAAGGAGAATATGACCAAGGAAGTCAGGACTATGGCATCAAACTGGATCCTCTGAATATGGCTCACAATTGAGGGAGACTGAGAAGCCAATGATAATGGCACTGGGATTTGTTTCTAGGGCATGTACTGGCTTTTTGAGGTCCTACTCTATTTGGATGCATACCTTCCTAAGCCTGGATGGAGGGGGGAGGGCCTTGGACTCCCCACAGGGCACAGTACCATGCCCTCTCTTAGGAATGGAGGGGGTAAAGGGAAGAAGAGTGGGGGAGCGAGAGTGGAAGGAGGGGAGGAAGTGTAAATTTTGATTCCTATTATCTATAAAGTAATAAAAATATCAGGAAAAAATAATAAAAACAATGTGTGAGAGTTGCTATGAAGAGTTAAGATGCAAATTGCATCACAGATCCCTTTGATTGTTTAAACAGATGAATTCCTAGACATTCTGGATAACTAACCAGTATAAAACATCTCAACAAAATTAACAATACACAAAGTGAAAGAACGATGTGAGGGCTGAAACCAAGGGGCTTATAATGTAACAGAAGAACTCACAAATTGGAGGGAGGAGAATCAGGAGGCCAGGCCTGTCTCAGCTACAAAGTCATTTCTGGGCCATCCTGAACTATGTCAGACCATACGTCAGGAAAAAATTACATGTTAAAGAAAGAATGCTTTGAGGAGGATGAGCTGAGTGTAGATCCACAGAGGATGAAGCAGAGTTGGAGAGTCTCTTCTCTGACCTATGGTATAGTGAGTGGACTGGGACTGAAGAGGCAAAAAGTTTACTTGTGGATTTCATTCCCCAATTTGAAAGAGCCTAGATATCCATTTGAAACGATTTAGGGGCCCATTTATGACTCTTACTGAATTCCCAAAACATCTTTCTCATTTCCTTGCTCTTGGTGCTTCTGGACCAGTAAGACGCACTAGCACTACACTGAAACACAGTGTGGGTAGGTACGACAACACAGAGTATAGAATAGCTCTGATTATAAATGCTAGCAAACATCAGGTGATTATGGGCACAGGAATTCTCAGAATAGAGTTTTATTTTCTTTTTGTTTTTGTTGCTTTAATAACTGTGAAGATTAGTGTTGTCAATGTTTGACCTCTGAAGAGAAGTATCATCACGTGGAAAAATGACCAAGAAAGACAGTTTCCCCAGCAAAGTGGTTAAAAATAAACTTCTCAACGGACTCTTTCATATAACCTCCTCAGCTTGGGCAGGAAGAGCAGTTTGCAGAGGTGAAATGATAAAGCCTGCTGAGGGCTGAGGGGCTGACCAGAGGTTGGAAGGTGTGACTGCACTGATGTGCACAGCTTCCTAACTGCAGTCTCACTACAAGTGAATGGGCACATGGTGTGGCTTCGCAAAAAGGTGATTCTTGCAGCACTGAACCAGAAACATAGATATATAGTGGATATGTATTTATGTTTATCTCTGTGTATTTTTATACAAAAGTGAAGTTAGAAGAAAAAATTAAAGAAAATGAAAAACATTTTTTATATTTCTCAACTTTCTGTTTTATTAACTGATTGTGATTAAGTTTCATACTTCCTTTGTGTTCTACACTTTGCACAAAGAATGGAATCAACCTACCTCAGGTTCTAGCAATACCACTCGTGGGAATATACCCAAGAGATGCTCAATCACACTACAAAAGCATTTGTTCAACTATGTTCATAGCAGCATTATTTGTAATAGCAAGAACCTGGAAACAACCTAGGTGTCCCTCAATAGAAGAATGGATAAAGAAAGTGTAGACTATATACAAATTAGAGTACTACTCAGCGGTAAAAAAACAATGATATCTTGAACTTTGCATGCAAATGGATGAAAATAAAAAACAGTATCCTGAGTGAGATAAGCCAGACCCCAAAAGATAAATACGGTATGTACTCACTCATTTGTGGACTCTAGCCATAAACCAAGGTCATTAAGCCTAGAGAAGCCAAATAGCAAGGTGAACACCAAGAAAATGACATATAGATCCTCCTGGAAATTGGAAGCAAACAAGATTGCAAGGCAAAAGCTGTGAGCATGGGAGTGGGGGCAAGGGTGGGGGTGAATTGGTGGAAGGGGAGAGGGGGAGAGGGAAGGGAGAAAAGAAGCACTGGCAAGAGATTGGGGGAGTGGGAGGGTGGAGATGGAAGAAGGGCGAATATGGGAGCAGGGAAGAAGATACCTACAGAAAGGGATCCATTTTAGGGTCGGCAAGAGAATTGGCTCTAGAAGGGATCCCATCCATGGGGATGTCCCCAGCTAGGTCCTTGGACAGCAGAGGAGAGGGTGCCTGAACTGTCCTTGCCCCACTATCATACTGATGATTATCTCAAAAATCACCATAGAATCTTGGTCCTGCTACAGATGGAGGTAGAGACAGAGACCCTCATCAGAGCAACTGACTGAGCTCCCAAGGTCCAGCTGAAAGGCAGAAGGAGGGAGAAGATGAACAAGGAAGTCAGAACTGCGAGGGGTTGGTCCACCAACTGAGGCAATGTGCCTGTTCTAATGGGAGCTCACCAAATCCAGCTGGACAGGGTAGGATGAATATGTGATCAAACCAGACTCTCTGATTGTGTCTGACAACGGGTACTGACTGAGATGCCATTGATAAACGTACTGAGACTTGGTTTTCGGTATGTTCTGGCTTTTGGGGAACCTAGTCTATATGGATGCACAGCTACTTAGGCCTGGATGTAGGGGAGGGTCTTGAACTTCCTACAGGGCAGGGTTCCTGGCCCTCTATCAAGCAGGGCAGGAGAGGGAGGAGAGGATGTGGGGGAGGGGAGGGGATTAGGAGGAGGGAAGGAAGTGTAAATAATTGAATGGAAAAAATTAAAAAAAAGAACTGCAGTGTGAGTGTCAATCAATTAGTTGTGGGGAGACTCGATCTTTAACGTAATCATCTTCACTTGAAGACTTTATCAGAAACTCAGAGCTTTATAACAAACAGAAGATAAATTTACAGCTGTTGCTTTATTTGCCGTTCCAGTTATTGGTATGATTCTGTCTCCACTATGTATGTAGTTTCTGTTCACACTATTGTCCTTGTTTGTCAAACACACTGTTGACACCATATCTGTTGTCCATTCTGCTGTCACAGACAGGATGGAAAGGATGTTGAGCTTGTATCACAGTCTCAGAGAGCGAGGAAACAAACAACATTCACACCTGAGCACGTGCTCTGCATTTGCCCAGTGTTCCTCCTGAGGACCACAGCCTCCCATCAAGGATGGAAATCAGAAAAATGTCTCAACAGCATTAACCTTTCTGTGAACTGTTTGGTGTGAATCCTCATACCTGATGTCATCAGTGGTATTTTTCTCACTGCTGTGAATTTCTCAGATCCTTAGTTTTACTTATGGTCTCTATTCTAAAACAAAGCGAAACAATCTGCCATAACAGCATCTTATGTTCTTTTTATGTTATAAGACATCATAGACAAGCCAGCATAGGGAATGAAGGGCTTATTTTCACTCACAGTTCAAGTTTATCATCATTCATGGTAAAGAAGTCACTGTAGCTGGGGCTTGAGGCAACTGGTCATAATTCATCATAGCAAGAAACAGAGCTATTAGTGAGCGATTGTACTCAGCTTGCTCCCTTCATTAATACAGTCTGGGATCCCAGTGTAGAAAAATGACACCAGCTAAAATGGATGGATCTTTCCCACCTCAATTGACCTAACAAATATAATCCTTCACAGTCTTGTTCAGAGCTAAATCTAGCATAGATAATCTTTGGCAGATGCGCCCAAATCTTGTCTCTGCTTGATCTTGTCAAGTCCACAATAATAACTACCACTACCAGTTTGATACGATAGGAAAAAGAACCTAGCTCATTGTGTATGCTGGTTCATCACAGTTGCTGTAGCAAAGAAATAGGCTGAATAAGTTTCAGTGAATAAAGGTTTGTTTAGGTGCAGATTTTTCAAGGTTGGAAATCTCATTGTCAGTTGTCATCATTTGGGGTGAGGACTAACATTTACCAAACCATGACACAAAGTGAAGGGTGATAGTTGCAGACTGACATATGTAGAACAATGAACTGGATTCATGGGCTTGCTTTGTGACACCTGCTGTCAGAGAGGAGGGGTGCTTACAGATAAGGTCTCACTTAATAACTATTGGTAGTCTGAAACTCATTATGTAGTAGACCAAGTGGTCCTTGCACTTCCGGTTATTCTCCTGCCTGTGCTTCCTATGATTGCAGCAGTGTATTAGCATGCATTTTTGCATTTAAGTTTTGGTTTATATAAGTCATATTGCAGTCATCATACACATCACACACACACAGACACACACACACACACACACACACACACACACACACACTCGTTGTGTCAACTGTTCCAGTAATGTATATCTGTAATACAGAATCGAGGAGGATGATGCAGGAGAATATTGAATCCAGCCTGGGCTGCATAGTGAGTTTCAGGCCATTATTAATATACATCATGATTCTGTCTGAAACAGAACCAGAAAACCAAACCAGCAACCAACCAACAAACCAAGGAAACAAATAAACAAGTCCTCCAAACTGAACATGTAGCTCACAGTTCATCTCTTGTGGAGGACATGCAAGAGCTTGGGTTTAATAACCCAGCCTCATAGAAATGACAGCAATGAAACCAATATGGAAAGACATCAACTTTCATTGTAAACATTATTTGTGGATTAAAGGGTAGATCAGTAAACACCAAGAAAATCACAATGGGAATGTGACTGTCTTATGGCATTCCTTATATACATTAACTCCCAATAACACAATTAAAAAACAAAAAGTATTATTTTCTCAAAAATATATATAAATATTAATCTAAAACAAAATTCCTTAAAAGTATTGAAATTTGGAACTGATGAACTTAGTCATCTCATTTATTTTATATACCCTTATATTCATATAGAGTTATTTCAGTCACTTCTTCTAAACAATGGCTTCTTTTAATCACATTACATTTAAGCTGAAAATATTGGCAGTGTTTTCTCAAAATGTATCTTCCTTTATCCTTTCAGTCATGAAATACTGGTTACAAATGTGATTCTGCTGCATGTGAAATGTGGGTTATTTCAAATGCAGCAGGAATGCATAGTTCATGATTCTGATCTTTCAGTATCAGCTCTCAACATACAATTTCCTCTTTTCACTTTGGTCGAGAGGAGGGGCAGAACATTACAGGCTGGAGTATCTTACAGAAGGGACTCTCTTCTGTGTTTCATTTGGAGCTTCTGAGGGGAATCAGGACTGGAAAGAACAACTTGTTCTTCATCCTTAGCTTCCTCCAACTGCATCACCACCTGGATGAGGTATAGGTAACAATTATTTTGATTCCTTCAGATATCTCTACACAGGATCATACTTATTCTATAGAAATACCATTCAGTTACAAATGGACAGCATGACAGTAACAGAGATAGGAAAGACAGTCGGTCATATTAGGACTGTATTAGTTCTGACTGTGAACGTTGAAATTTAGTTTCAAGAGAAGAATTTTTTTATTGTGCTATGATTTTTGTTGTGTGTGATATAGAGTGATCAGTAGAATTAATGACTTGGTGATTAGTTCAAGTGGTTTATATACGTTCTTCTACGCTTTGTAGAATTTTATATTAGGAAAGATTTCATTTTTGGAAATTAATGAAATTGTAAATGAGTTTAGAAAATTTCATCAATGAAAATGTGTTAGATATTGAAATAAATTGAGATCAAGAAAAATTTTTTAATATTACCTGTTTGTTTCATTGTACCTTCAAATGCTGTTTAATGGAAGAGGTAAGATAAATCATAACTACTTATGATTTAATAATTTGTTTATTAATTATCATATGTTTTGGAAGTCAGACACCTTCCACACTCTTTACAGTGTTCAGATCTTTAAAGGAATTAATAATCTTCCAACCTACCCCAGCATAAAATTCTGGAATGTTTTAAACTTGGACATTTTAATTTTTTCTTTGCCTAGACGTCATCACAAGACTATATTTTAATTTAAGCCTTCTTGCTTCTGTCCAAGATGAGGAATCAGCAAGTGATATATTCAAACTCAAGAGTTTTTGAGTCTTCTTCAGAGTCACAGAGTCCAGCAAGTCAGTTTGAAACTCAAGGTCCCAGAGAGTTTGGCCGCAAAGGTGAGTGCTCTCCTCCAGGGCACTGTACAGACCAGACATTGAAAACTGTCCTAGCCTTACTGCTGATTGTCAAGTGGTAATAGGAGATCACTGCAGGAAGAAGTTAAGACCTAGAAGCATTTATTTAAGAAGTAAAATTTGAGACTGAAAAAATCAATAATTTATTTGCCTTGTGTTATTCTTGTTTGTTTGGTCGGGTTTTGTTGTTGTTATTGTTTGTTTGTTTTTGTTTTGTTTTTAGTGTCAGGGTCTCAAGTAGCCAGGACCAATCTTTCCTGTGCTATGTGACAAAGGGTGGCCCAGAATCCTTGATGATACCAAATCAGCCTCGAAATTATGGGATTACTGTTGTGAACCACCTAGCCTGCCTCGAATACATTTTTATAAATTTGAGAAACCATCAGCTTTTAGCTAATTTTATTAAATTATGATTTAAAATATGAGGTCTTTAGAAATGAACTACATTCTGAGGAAACACCAAATTTTCTAAAGAAATAAAATATTAAATAAATGAAAAGTATAGCTGGGCAGTGGTGCTGCACATCTTTAGTCTCAGATCTCAGGAGACAGAGGTAGGCAGAGCTCTGTGCCAGCCTGGGCTACAAGCCCTTGTTACAGGACAGGCTCCAAAGCAATAAAGAAACCCAGTCTTGAAAATATAAAAAAAAAGAAAACAAACAAACACAAAAAATTACAGAAAAAGGAAAGAAAAGTATGTGTTAAAAGCATATCTCTTTCTAAAACAGATATTCCAATGCCAATCATCAGCATCAACAGCCAGGTCAGAAAGGAAGTCTAAAGTCATTACTCTCATCCCCTTGTCCTTTAAATATTGTCCCATTCAATGTCTAAACTGAAAACATCTGCTATGTTAGTGTGGTGATAATAAGATGCAGGGCCCTAGAACCCAAGACCTTAAGTCACAAGGAAAATTATCTTATTTTCCGAGAAAAACATAATTTATAGACAGGAAAAGAGCTGACTTCTAAGAATTTTTTTATGATGGAAACTTATAGAGTTCAGAATTTTTAGACTGGCTACCGGCTTCTACAAGTTTCTTAAGATTGATCTTTCCTTCCTCTTCATGTGATATCTTAGTGTTCTAATTACAGTTTTGACTTTTCTACCTGCATCTTGCTTATGCCTTCAGTACTTTGTAAGATGAACAAACTGTGTTCAAGCCTGTCATTCCCGTTTCCTGTGAGACTAAGGGGGGAAGACTGAGAGTTCAAGACTGAATAGATGATACTTATCTAAACTCCTCGAGAACTGCATGTATACATAGGGTATAAGCAGAATAGTTGTCTGCTACCTAGAAATTGAAAACTTAAACTTTTTACAGCTCATTAGAATTTATTAATTATATAAAATAAAGGGTTTCATTATTATTTGTGTATAAAAGTAAATATAATTTACTGATCATCTTTATCCATTGTTATTATATCCTGTTCCCCTTTCTCTGTTACCCTTCCAGTTCTTCATCATGCTCCTACTTTGGTGTATTGACTTTATTGTTTCCATTCACTTTAATTATTAGTAATATGTTTACATGTGTTTATAAATTCAATCTGACATTCCATCAGTTGCTGTTCGCATGCACATATTTTAGAGCTGACCACTTGGTATTAGATATCCAATTATGGCCTCCTTTCTAGAAGAGATTTATTTTCTCTATCACCTGTTATCAATTGCCTTGGGTCTTGTGGAGATTTTCCCTGTCCTTATTGGCATGTTCTCTGGTGTTGTGGTTGGGTTAGTCTTGCTTAGGTTATGCTATTTTTGAGACTGCTGAATGTAGCTTCCCTGTCTTCAGTCTCTGTATTTCACAATCTTTAGTCCTCTCTTCTGAGCTCTTCCCTGAACAGTAGGTGTAGGAGTTAGTGTGTATTCTGGAATTTTGCTTAAAACATTAGAGTTTGTCATCCCTTTGTCATATGAAGCTCCAGGTTATGACGAGTGGTGGACCATGGGATGGTCCTGGTGATGATTCTGTTACCAGTTTTGATGTCTTTAGAGTTAAATCTCTTACAATCTCCTTATATCTCATTGCAGTGGCTCTGGGGATCCTTTGCTTACTTCTGATGACGGCAATCGCAGTGTGGCTGACATACAGTGAGTAATTCACATACATCATTTTCCTAGGTAATGCCAATAGACACTAATTTGCCACAGAAATCATACTTTGTCCATTATTTTGTCTGTCATCAGGTGACATTCCAGGTGGCCCAGAATTTGTAAGTTATTTTGTTTTCCCTTGGACTCCAGAAACCTTGGGCAACACAGTGACTCTGGGGTTGCCTTAGAGCTATTCTGTCTTACTCATAATATATACCCTGTGATAATACATGTGTTGCTGATATTCTGCTTTCTGAGCACTGGTGATTATGAATCTTACATAGACCGCCCGTAAAAAGTAGCACTACAAAATAAATTACGTTGTTTTATAGATTTCTTTCACACACTTATATCAACGACATGGTTAAGTGAAAAGATGGAATCTGTACACAGAAGTAAGAAGTTCTAGAACTTCAGCTTTATCTTTTGTTTGATGTCCTCACATGCTTAGAGTAAACCACTGATTGGCTAAGCTCCAACAAAGCTGGAAATCTTCATATTATTGTCTCTTCTCCTGTGAGTACTCCATCTGCTCTAACGATAAGGGTGGTGTTACTTCATGTCTCTTAGTTCAAATTTTCAACCTGTATTATTCTCTGACTATTTTACTTAAATATTTATTTGTAAGTTTTTGGCTACAAAAAAATTGAAGTGATCAGAACATAACGTGCTTACATAGTAATATTTTTTAACTATTTCATCTACTTTACACTGAAGCTGCCAGTTGTGACAAGTTCGTGTTTCTATTCTTATAGTGGGTTAAATGAAGCATTGCTTTTTAAGTGTCAAAATAGCATTTAAAGTAATGATATGTATTTCCTGTCAACTTGAAGATTTTCCCTAACCTTAAATTTCAATATTTACTCATTACAAGCATTTTTTTTGTATTATACCTACTACTAAGTTTAGTTTTTCAGTATAGTGAAGAAAAACTTGAACTGCAAAAAACTCTAAAAACAACCTCAATCTCATGTATCACACCATGGAAAAGGACAGATACTTCAAGGAAAAAAATGCTGAGAAATAAACCTAGAGAGAAGATAAGGTTGTTTTTTGATGATTTGTTTGTTTTTAGCTTGCATAGGGCACACAGGTAATGAGGGGATCTTGAATAAGGAACTGCATTATTCTGTATTGTTTCTTCTCCAGAAGCTTTGAAGCCCAGTTAGCATATGTGAGGCTGATCTGTGGCTTAATGGTTGGGCTTCCTTATTTCATGCAGGGGCCTGAAATTCAGGAAATTCCTGTTTGTATTAGGACAATCTTACAGTTTCTAGAACCCAGTGACTTTTCTTTCTTCTACTGCATTCAGGAGATAGATTCACAAATTAGCACTCCTAAAAATTAATGCTTTGCTTTAAGAGTAAATCCAAGTCTCCAACATTGTCCTTGAAGAACATGGAAGTTTTCAGTTCTTCAAAAGAGTGTATTTTCCAGATATTTAGTATGAAATAGAATAAGGTATTTTCCAAGTATTTAGCATGAAATAGAATAAGGTATTTGAATTATTACAATAATAAGTAGAAGTGTGTAAGTGTGTTTGTGTTTCCTCATTAGTTAGTATCAAATATGTTGCCAGTATGTGACCGAGCTATACTTACTGCAAGCATGTGGGAGCTTTACAATGGTGCCCACATTCATGTACGTCTGCTAGTAATCCCATTAGTAATAGGAAAAGGATTAAAATGTTATGTGATGTGAAAGACCTTCCTGGCCTTCCATAATGACTGGTTTTCTTTCATTGACTGCTTATTAATTATTCTTAACATTTGATCAGCTTTTGCATATGGTCTCTACTCACAGTAGGAGTGCAGATTCTCATTATACAAGGACAAATAATATCTTTAACCTGGTGCATTAAAATATGTGAAAGAATAAAAGCACCAAAAAAAATTTGTAGCATTCAAATCTAATAAAATATGTTTTATGTTATGATTTTAGAATAAAATAAATATCACTTCCAATTATAGAACCACTTTTAATGCTTTCGATTAGAAGGGCAAGGCAGGGTTATTTTATATTTGAAGACAGTCTGGGCAGCCCAGCAAATTCTAAGGAAGCCTGAGCTACACAGTGATAAAACTTCAGAGAACAAAGGTCAGAGACAAAGTTTGTTGATAGAGCAAGGCCAACTCCAACACTTCACAAAACAATCATGTTGAATTGTTATTGCTATTCCAACTTCGAGCACTTTAATGGATTTAACTTGACATGCTTGGGGAATGGGTGTACCCTTGAAGGCATCTCCACAATCACCAGAAAATACCATCACCTTCAAAAGTTTCTTCGTGTGTCTCTTACTTGTCTTAAGTTAAGAGCATTTAAAATAGACCTCAGCACAACTCTGAGTGCACTGTCACTTGTGAAATACTGTGGGCTCTGTTCATTAGTGCAGATCTAGCACTGTGTCCTACATGTAATGGACTCAGAGCAACAAATGTTCATTTCCCACTCCCGAAGACCCTGCGATCCTAAAAGCTTCTGCTTCTTGAACCTGGGCACTGAAGCTCATCTGAGTGGAATTATAAAGTATGGTCGTGGGCCAGGAGTGTTTCACTTTGCATCCTCGAATCCATCCAGGCTTCCGTGACAGAATTTCTTGTAGACTTCTAAGAAAGGGAGGATAATGCAAGGACACTGTTGTCTCTTTAGTAATTTAGATGCTCATGACAGATACTTGTCCTGACACTAACTGAGCAGCAGACAGGAGTCTCTTGGGAGACTATTACTGAACAGTTAGTCACTTTGGTCGGGATTTCTCTTTGGGGGCATTAGATATGAGAAATGATTTAATTCCATACCTTCTATACCTTCTAACTCACGGTATAGCCAAGGTTGGCCTAGAATTCACTTATTAGTCAAGGATGGCCTCAAATTGGTGGTGATCCTCCATCTGCAGCCTATAGATTTCCAGACTTATAAGCACAAATTACCATGCCTGGCCATTTTACTCCTCTTTAAATGATATATAGTATTCCTTTGTGTGTATGTGCTATGATTTCTCTATTGTTTCATCTATAATGGATGCTTAAGTTTTCCTCACATTGCTATTATAAATATTGTTATGTATAGCATGAGTATGTATGGGGTCTCTCAGCCATCTAGAATCTCAATTTGTGAGAGCTGTGAGTTTTGCTTCACTACATACCTTTAATAAATGCATTGTTCTAATAACAGAATACCAGAGAATAAGAAGTTTAACTATTCAACTTCTCTGTTGTAGACAAAGATGGTGAAAGACACTGGTTCTCCTGTGGCATAAAATGTTATTTCATCATAGACAATAAGCACTGGAGTGGATGTAAACAGACCTGCCAGGACTGCAGCTTGTCTCTTTTGAAGACAGATGATGATGATGAACTAGTACTGTAGACTCTTACTTGTCACTTATTATCCTAGACTCTGTTGTGACCCTTGGATAGTGAGATACTGAGTGCAGGTATTTTTTTGAAAGTAAGACCTTCAAGGGTTCTATATGGTTTGCCTATTATGTGAGCAAAACAGTCCAGTAAGAGTCTCCAAGGAAATTAAATCCTGTTCCTGGCTGGGTCAGGACACATGGTCATTTACAAAAAGACTTGATACTTAAGAGACAATTGTGATTTTTCAATCTCCTCCCATTCTCACAAATCTGCAAGAGGGTCCCTCAGAGAAGCAAGTTTTTCCTGAATAACTTTAACCCTTTTGTATGGAATATTCAGCGACTGACATTTCTTTATTTCCATAGAGTTCGACTACACTTGCCTGGAGCGTAGGGCTTACTCCTTGAAATCCAGAAGTGAGACTGCCTGAAATGAGCAGTTGGGTGACAATAGAGAAACTAGCTGACTTCTGTGCCCATTTACAAAATGGAAATTATATGAGAGCCACAAAATAAGTGGTTTTTACCAGTTAGCCCCATGGTAATTGTAACTCAATTTGCCCATTATGTTAGCTTCATAATATTCATGTCTTTCAAAAATGTTATCTATCTTTGGAAATGAGTATTTAAAAGAAATCAAATGGTCAAGGTCCTGACATTGTCTGTTTACATTTATTATGAAAGAAATCTATTTCAATACATTGAGGGTATTTTCTAGAACAATGATTGCAGAATCAGCTTGAAGCCTTTATCATTTAGAATACGATTCGTAGCTTAAACAGAAATTTATTCACATTTTTGAACAATTACAGAATAAGATGTACTTCCATATCATGTAATTATATACTTTTCTAATTGATACAGAAAACATAGTTATATTCAAATTCATATTAGTAGTCATCATTCCATTTGGATGTTGTATATAAAGTACATTATAATATTTCCAATAGTTCTATCCTAGGTCTCTGGGGTCCGGGTGCTCCAGTAAGTAGGTCTTGTAGTGTCAGGGACAGGCTTATTCTTATGGCTTGGATATTAGGGTAGACCAGTTATAGGTTGTCCATGCCCCCAATCTCTCAGCTACCCTTATCCATGATTGTCTCATTGGCAGAACTGACTATAGTTAAAGGTTATGTGGTTGAGTTGTCATCTCAGTCCTTTCACTGGAAGTTTTACCTGATCACAGGACACAGTTGTTTCAGGCTAGATATCTGCCATTGCCGGAAGTCTTAGCTGGGGTCATCCTTGTAGATTAATAGAAAATTCCCTTGTGCCAGGTCTCTACCTGACCCAGAAATTTCACCACCATTCATTCTTCTCTTTAAGAACTTTCTCCCTCCATCCCTACCTGTCCTCAGTCCAATTATAAAATCTCTTCTTTTCCCCTCTTCCCAGGGAGATCCAGGCATCCCTCCCATGAACCCTCCTTGTTACCTATTCTCTCTGCATCTGTGGACTATAGCATGATTCTCCTGTATTTTACAGCTAATGTTTACTTTTAAGTGAATATTATACATCATGTTTGTATTTCTGGGTCTGGGTTACCTCACACAAGAGGTTTTAATGATGGTGTTCTTTCATTTTTTTCCTCAGTCTGTATTGAAGGCATGATTATGTAAAAAGACTTGAAGAGCACAGAGATGTTAAAACATCAGCCCTATTGAATTCCTTCACAATTTGGAGAAAATAACTCCCAGACTGTGCTAAAATATAACTGCATACAAGGATATTATATTTTCCATCTGGTGCTTTGAGAATTGTGCCATATCTGTATGTTTCTTAATTCACATTTTCAGCATATGTTAAAGGTTGACTGAATTCATAAGTCAGATCTTTTTGTAAGTTTTATGTGGAGAAAAAATTGAAGGGATTGGAGGGTAATATGCTTCCACCATAATTTAATTCTTCATCATTTACTTTATACTGAAGTTTCTGGTAGAAATTGATGTTTCTGTCTCTTTAGTGAGTCAATTGAGATGTCATTTTTTAAAATGTCAACAGAGAAATTGAAATAAAGACATATGTTAGCAACATGAGGCCTTTTCTTATATCTTTAATTTCACTATTTAGTACTTATAAACATTTCGAGTTATATCTTTTTTATTTTTTGTTATATCTTTTTTAATTTTAGTTTTTCAGTGTAGTCAAGAAAAATATGATCGAAACAACCTCAATCAAAGCATTAGACAAAATATCAGCTCCTTTAATAAAACATTGACAAATGAGTCATCAGAGCATGAAGACTGCAAATACGAAAAGGAACAGAAGAGATGCTGTGGGAAAACTAAGGCTGTTTTAGATTACGGAAAGAACACAAGTAAGGAGGGGATCTTGAACAAGGAATTGGATTATTCTGTATTGATTCTTCTCCAGAAGATTTGAAGTCCAGTTATCAGGTTATAATCCTGGTGATTTGTGGGTTAATGTTTGGGTTTCCTTATATTCTGTAGGGGCCCGGAACTCCAGAAATCCCTGTCTAAATTAGAAGCATCTTACATTTTCTAGAACTCAGTAACTGTTCTATCTCCTGCACTCAGAAAAGGAAGCTCAAACAGCACAGGTAGTTTTCATCTGTGAGCAAATCTGGGTCCCCCTTTCATTGTTAACAGAATGTGGGAGTTTCCAGTAAGATAGTGTTGTCCAAATTCCTAAGCTGAAATGGACTAAGAACATTTACATGGACACAGTTATAAAAATCATTTCTTGTATGTTTGTTTTCCTTCTGCTTTGGTATCAGAAAGATGTCCTATTTGTGACCAGAGTGTCCTCCCTGCAGTGCACATGAGAGCTTCACCATGGTGTGCACACTGATGAATTTCTATCAGTGACTCAAAAATGAAAATATCTAATGTTACAAGGAATCATTCCTTGCATCGTGACTGATTAATAATAACTGACATAGTTTACCATTAATTTTTAACTATTTGTTCAGAATTTAGAGTTCACAAAAAACTCTTGCATATGATCTCAAATGTTTGATAGCAAGGTTGACAATCTTCGATATTCAAGAACTAATAATATCTTTAATACTCGTAAATTTAAAATATTTGACAGAAAATAATAAGGCTCCAAAAATAATTATTAAGGCATCCCAGACTCGACATTAAGTCCTCCCAACTCTATCTTAGAGAATATAGATAAAATAACTATCTCCTCTAAGTGATAGCATGATTCTGCAATGCTTGTGATTAGAACACAGACAAAGGATGATTGCAAATTTGAGGAGTGTCTTTGTGTCCAGTAAATTCTAAGACAGTCTGAACTATACACTGATGTTACCTCTGCACGGAAATTCAGGAGTTGGATATAAAGGTTTATAAATAGATAAAGGGTATCCACATCACCAGAGCAAAAAATAAGTTGCATTGAAATGTAGTTATAGAAACCACACATATTTTATTATATTCTAATTTGACACTTTGGGCATGTGAGTGTACCATTGAAGGCAGGAGAACAGAAGATCATCATCAAAAGCTTCCTTATATGTCTCTTATTTCTATTAAGGTAAAAGCATCTAACATACATCACATCAAAGCTGTACGTGCACAATAGCAGGTGGGCCACTGTGGGCACAGTGCATTGCTGCAGATCTCCATTGTATCCTACATGTAACTGCCTCAGAGCACTAAGTACTCATTTCTCATCCTTGTGGCCCCTGGGATCTTATAACCCTCTGCTTCTTAGAGCTGAACTGTGTTAGAAACCTCATCTGAGTGGAATCAAAAAGCATCGTTCTGGCCTCGGTTTGTTTCACTTTTCATTCTAACTTCTAATTCACACACTCTTCTCTGACAGACTTTCTTGTAGACTTCTGAGAAAGGGAGGATATTGCAAAGATTCTGCTGTTTCATTTATAGATCTTCTCACAACAGATGCTGTGTCCTGATGCTAAGTGAGCAGTAGTCAGGTGTCACCTGGGAGCCTCATAGGTGTTTTGAGGTGCTAGGTGTTAGAAATGATTTTCTTGTACAACCAACGCTGAATTGGAATATACTGTATAGTCAAGAATGGCCTGGAATTCACTGTTTAACCAAGGCTGGCCTCAAACTGGAAGTGAACTTCCTGCCTCAGCCTATGTAGAGATGGGTTTATGGGCATAAGCCATGCCCCGCTGGATTTACTTCCCTTTCAAGGATGGATAGTATTTCTTTGTGTGTACATGCTACATTTTTTTTCTATTGATTCATCCTTAATTAACACTTAAATTATATTCACATTTCTATTTTAAACAGTGCTGCAAAGAGCATGTGTGTAGAGGGGTCACTCAGCATTCTAGAATCTCAATTTCACAGAGCTGTAAGATTTTACTCAGTTATAGATGTGTGATAAAGATATTGTTCTAATAATAGAAAACCTGATATTAAGAGTTTCACAATTCTTTTTCTGTTGTAGGCAAATGTACTGAAACACAGTTGTTCTGCTGTGGTATAAAATGTTATTATTTCATCATGGACAGTAAACGCTGGAATAACTGTAAGCTGACCTGCCAGGACTGCAGCTTATCCCTTTTGAAGATAGATGATGGTGATGAACTGGTACTGTAGACTCTTAACATGCCCATTTATTCTCTTAGACGCTGTCTCTAAATCTTGGAGAGTGAGGCAAGTTAATTGAAAGACAGACCTTCAAAGATTAGATATGGTTGCCTGTGATAAGAGCAAACACTGGATTAAGAGTCTCTCAGGATACTCCTCCTGCTCCTGAGCTAGTTGTCAGGACACAGGGTCTGTTATGAGGAGGCTTTACTAAAGAGTCAGTTGTCTTTGCAAACTCCCTAGTTTCTCATGAGTCGGCAAGAGAGTCACTCTGAGAAGCATGTTCTCCCTGATGAAGTTATTATTCTATTATTTTATTACAGCACATTCTGTGACTGACAGTTATGTGTCTCCATACAGTGCCACCTACACCTGGAAAAGTAACTGTCTTGGGTTTGTTCTTTGAAATCCAGAAGTGAGACTGCCTAAGATGAGTAATTGAATTGCAGTGGTGAATGTTACTGACTAACGAGGCAATCTGCAAAATGGAGATTATATGAGAACCATGGAATTAAATAATTTTTTGGGCTATAATCATGCTGATTTTCACTGAATCTGTCCTTAATATTTACCTCATGATATTCTAATGTTTCACAAAATGTTATCTATATTTAGGAATGAGTATTACAGGAAAACAAGTGGTCAAGATACTGACATTACATTATACACTTTCACTATAGAAATCTTTACAAATTTGGGTGGTGGTGGCTCATGTCTTTGATCCTAGTACTTGGGAGGCAGAGGCAGGCAGATTTCTATGAGTTCAAAGCCAGCCTGATCTACAAGAGCTAGTTCCAGGACAGGATTCAAAACTACAGTGAAAACTTGTCTCAAAAATACAAAAAAAAAATCAAGAAACCAACAAAGAAAGAAATCTCCACAAATACACAAAGAGTCTTTTTCTAGAGAAATGATTGAAAGGTCAGCTTGAAATCTTTTTCATTTAAAACTTGATGAATAATACTCTACCAGTGTAATACATGCTGAATAACTACAGCGTAAAATAAATTTTTATGTGAAGTCATGATATAATTTTCCATTTGATACATGAAACATAGATAAATTTAAAATCATACCCTAAAATATATTCAATAGTTTTATTAGCCATCATGGCCACATATGTCACATGTAAGACACGCCAATATCTTCCACATACCTCCCACTTCCTCCAGTTCTGTCACTTTCAGTTCTGAATAATAGCATGGCTTTCTCACTAGAACATGGAGGATAATGCACATCTTTTCATGGTATTTTTCATCTTAATGAATTTGGTTTGAAGTTGGGGTTCACTTAAGGTGAATGCTTCTCACATGCCTCCAAAGTTCTCTGAAATATGAATTTGTATATTTTCATGAACCATCAAACTTACTTAAGGAACTGGATATCCAATGCGCATTTAGTGATTGAAGCAGGGAGACTGTGAGTTCAAGGCCAGTCTTGGCTACACAGTCTTTCTCTGAGAATCACACACATAAATCTTTTCATGAAAGTAGCATCTCTAGGCACTTGAAGCTTCATTTTAAATAACTTATGTAACTGATTAGTTCTGGTATAAGATGGGAAATCACTTTAAATATGAACTTGGAAGAACTGAAGGACTGGAGGACAGGACAGAAGAGAACTGACATCAGAATAGCTGGGACCTATTATGGCTGTTCTATTCTCATTAAACAGAGATAAATTTTATTGTAAGATAAGTTTTTATTTTCCTTACAGAAGTTTCTAATGTACCATCTTACTACAAACACTTTTTGGATTGGATTATCTTATCAAATAAGCAAAAGCAAATGGCAATGGATTAACAATGGCACATCTAAATTGTAAGTTTTCAGAACCATCACCCTCTAACACTGAAGCCAGACCTAGGAGGATTGTTTGCAAAAGTTTGTCTCTCATTTCACATGGCTTTTCACATTTTCTATGAAGCTCAGGGGTAAGGAACAGAAGCATAAGGCAGTACCTGGGCAAGTATTAGACAGGGAATAAAAGTTTGTAGGAGCTGATGGCCAGTGATGTAATACTGAACACAGCTCAGGACTGTGTGTTGTAAAATGTACAAGGCACAAAAAAATCAAAGCTTAAGATAATGTGAAGTGATTTGATCTTTATGGAAATTACAATGAGTGTGAGTGTCTTAAACATTCATGACTTGTTTCTGTAGTTAGCTTATATAATTGTCAATTTACAAATATAGAAACATGTTTGTGTGTGTGTGTGTGTAGATAGAAGATAGATAGATAGATAGATAGATAGATAGATAGATAGATAGATAGATAGATAGATACTCTACATTTCAATGTGATTTAGTCTATATGCTCTGAGCTTGCTCATTTCTGTCCTGGTAGAAAACTGTTTATTGATTTTCTTAATAAATGATTTTTCTTAAAAATCTCATAGATGTACAGAATGAAATATGACCATATCTATCCCCTACTTGTCCTCTCAAGTTCCCATTACTGTACCCAAAGTTTTCCCCTCGTACATGCTTAAGGACCATCCACTTGAGCAAGGATACCTGGCCAAAACCTTAATAAGAAATGTATCTACCATTTCCAGCAGCTGTCACCTAACGATAGTGATTCATTAAGAGATGGAGGGTCCTTCCTCATTTATGCTGGAATTTCAACTAGTTTGATCTTGTTCAAGTCTCACAGAAATAACCACAGCTGCTGAGAGTTTGTGAGTGGGAAAGCCTTGTCATGTCCAGATGGCAGGATTGTACAGACCATCAACTGGTTCTCATATTTTTTTCCCACTTTCTCTTCCCTGTTATTCCCAGAGACTGGTTTTGGATGGTTTTGAGGGGGGGGAGGAAGTTGATGAAGATGTTGCCAGACACATTTTCCCCTCTCTTCTGAACTTTGACTACTTTCATGGCTCTGTACAGATTACAGTCTGCTGCAAAAGAAGCTTCTTTGACGTAGGTTTAAAGCAGTTAGCTACATGCCCACTTGGTAAAATAAATGTAGCAGGTTCCACCCTAGGGCCCTTGACCTCTACAATCATGGGATTTTGATTTGGATTGCAATACCAAACATTATATCCCTCATGAAGTAAAAATCTCAACTTCAATAAAAAGCAGTCAGTTATCCTATAACAATGGTACCTCTGGTAATATCTTGACTAGAAGGTCAGAATAATAGAATGCTGGATTCAGTGCTGGGTAAGACCATTCATATCTTTTCTTCTCCAGCAGCACCTTGTCATCCTTTGAAAATTAGCCCAAGTGAAGATGTTTCTTGATTGATTTGAAATTGATTTCTCTATGTTCTAACAACAATGTGTGTGCTGTATTCAGCAATCAGATCTTTTCATGTAGTTAGGGTGGGTAACCAAGGGCAATGGCACAAAGCTGTGCCGTTTTGGTGACCTCTGTGGTCTCTCTGACCAATAATTTCCCGGGGTGTGTCCCCTGCTTTATATTTTGATTGTCACTTAATAACTTATGTTTTCTGTGATTCTAACTATTTTTACAGTTATATTTTCATTTTCAATTACATTTTTTAATTGACTATATTTTGATCACCTTTCCTTACCCCTAACACATCCCACATGCTTCTCACCTCCCTACCCATCTAAAATCAAGTTCTTTACTTTGCTCTCCCAAAAACAAATCAAAAATGACAATCAAATCAAACAAAAAACCCAATCAGAAAGAAAGATGTCTAAATACAAATACAAAAACAAACAAAAAACACAAACCACTTACGTTAAAAAGAGTGGGCTTTATTTTGGCCAAACACAAGTTTATTAACTAATGGTGGTCTATAAAGTATTTTATAGATCTTTAGTTTTGTTTTATACACCTTTTATCCTCTCCTCTTTTTCACCCCAGTGCTATTGTCATTTTATCTTTTAATCTTCAGAATTCATTCCTCTATTTGCATTCCACATATATCCATTCCTCATGCTCATTGATCGTTTTAGAAATACTAATATTGAAATTTCTCTCCTAAGAATTCTGTTTGTCCTCAAATATCATTGGAAAATATATGTATATATGTATAGATGTATGTATGTATGTATATTTGTATGTGTATGTATATATCATCATCTATGTATGTGTATTTATGTATGTGTATGTATAAAAACACAATCTTTATTATCAAATTCTTACAATATGACCATCCAAAAAGCAAAAGAAGAAAATACTGTTTTATTTTTCTATTTAAAATTTTTTTTTGCCTGGTGGTGGTGGTGCATGCCTTTAATCCCAGCACTTGGTGTCAGACATAAGCATATCTCTGTGAGTTCAAGATCAAACTTGTCAACAAATTAGTAGCCAGGGCTGTTACACAGAGAAACCTGTCTTGAAAAAGCAAAAATAAATAAATAAAATAATTTTAATTAATTACCTATTTTCTTCCAGTCCAGTCTTCTCTCCCTCCATCCCTCATCTCCTTTCAGTCCCTCTCCTACCTCCTTTTTTCTTCCATGCTCTAAACTACTACTAATCCTGTCTCTTCTAAAAGGAAAAGTCCTCCTGTGGGCATCTCCTTTCTAATTGAGGCTGGATGAGGCAACCCAGTGTGAGGAAAGGGTCCCTCTTTTTGTACACTGTGAAGATGTGTCGCTATTACTGGTTTAATAAAAAGCTGAGTGGCCAACAGCTAGGCATAATTCCCAGGTACAGAGGACACTGGTAATAAGAAGGGAGATGACACAAGGAGTTACAAGCAAATAGAGATGGAACAGACATGCAGGATGAGAAGTAGAGTCATGAGTCACATGGCAATGCATAAAATGTAAATGGATTGACTTAAGCTATAAAAGCTACTTAGAAACAATCCTAAGCATTCAGCTGAGCTGTCATAATTGATAATAAGTCTCTGTTTAATTGGTGGGGAGCTGTTGGCCCAAAGGAAATGTCTGTCAGGTGTTGGCAGAAGTTTCTGTCCCACCTGGTCGCACAGCAGTTTAATCAAAAAGAAATGCAGAAAGGTCTACTAAATTAATTATAAAATGGTTGGCCTATTAGCTCAGGCTTCTTATTAACTAATTTTTAAATGTTAAGTTGGTCCATTACTCTTGTCTGTGTTATCCAGTGGCTTGGTGCTTTTATCACTGAGGTGTTCTCATATAAATTCCTCTGCATCTGGATGACTACTACAGACTGCGACTGTCCTTTTCCCAGAATTCTTCTGTCCTCATCATGCAACCTCTACTTCCTGCCTGATTGCACCACCTGTACTTCCTACCTGACTACTGAACAATCAGCATTTTGTTAAAATACAAATGACAGGTTACAGACCTTTGTCCCACAGCAGTTCCTCCCCTTAAATAAATTTAAAAAACAACCAAGAACTCTGAATCAAATCTCCATTGTTTTGCTTTTCTACTGACCATTATGCAAAGCAACTTTTAACCAATATTTTAAAGAAAGGCAAACATTCATAATCAGTTTTTTTGGGAATGTGGGCATAGCTTTCCAGGATACTTCCAGCTGCACACTATTCTGATGCAGATCTCAGAGGAAACTGCAACAGACGTTCTATAAAATATTGTATCATCTGGACCATCTACTCCTATTGGAGTTTCTTCAGGGGGTTCCTCCTTGATGAAACCTGGTTTTTCTTAGCCCAGAATGAAATCACAGACTCCCATTTTCTGTAGAAACAAAAGCAAACCCTCTTCTCCAAAGTAACATACTTTTTGACTTAAATTTTGAAGTCAAGGCATTTTCAAACTATATATGTAAGTATTAATCCAGCAGAATTTATAATCAAATATCTTTTAGCAGGCTTTGATCCTTCCTCAGCCATCAAACAATTTAAAGACAACACAATAACATACAGTATCCAGACTTCCTGGGTATTTTTAATCTTTATGTGGCTTTATTTTAAACTCTATTTCTTTTATTTTTATTTTGAATTTTTGGCTTTTTGGGACAGGGTTTCTCTGTGTATCTTTGGCTGTCCTAGAACTCACTCTGTAGACTAGGCTATCATTAAACTCACAGAGATCTGCCTGCCTCTGCCTCCCAAGTGATGAGATTAAAGGTGTGTGCCACCACACCCAACTACTCTCTTTCTTTCTCTTTTTATTTTAAGGACTTCATTCTTTTTCTTTCTCTTCCAAACCTACATTTATTTTTAAAAACACTGTAAACAATTTAGAGGTTTTCTTCTTCTGAATCTATCTTTACTGTATACCACTCTTTTTCTGACCACATGAGTCTCTAATTTGCTAAGCAATGTGGTTATGATTAAAGCCATGGATTTGATAGCTGGATCTACCCCATTCCTTAGATTTCTGAGAGTCTAGCCACATGGAGGAAGTACCAACCAGAGTCATGTTTATTACAACTCTATGGAGTTTCAAGGTCCCTGCCACCACCAAAAAGCATGTGGTTGGCTATTCATCAATATCATCTAAGTGTATCATGGTGGGGCCTCTTAAAAGGCCTACAAGTTTTTGCAGCTAAAACTGAGTCAGGGAGCATTTCTAACTAGCAAACAGAGCCCACCCGAGAAAATGCTGCTACCAAGAAGCCATGAATAACTTTGTTCTTTTGTTACTAGAATTACTTCCCAAATTCTCTCAGGTTTTAAGTGGATTTAGCTGTCTACATTGACACCATTTGCTGACAAAGGTTTCTGTCTCACCTGGGCCTGCAACTGATCAATCCCAAAGAAATACACAGAGGTCTACTAAATTAATTACAAACTGGTTGCCCTATTATCTCAGGGTTCTTATTAACTTATTTTTACATCTTAATTTGACCCATTATTCTTGCCTATGTTAGCCACATGACTTGGTAAATTTACCATGAGGTGTTCTCATCTTGCTTCCACTGAATCTGGATGAAGACTGCAGACTA